AGAAGGGACAGCGCAACGGTTCAGTTTCCGAGGGTTTATATTCGCTAGGGATTACTCATTTACTGATCTAGGAGGTGGCTTCTCGACAAGACCCACCTCACGTGGATAGAGATTTTTAACGCCTCCAATACTCATATTTGTACTAGCATGTTCTGAGTTAAACAGTCAATCTAGACGATGTGTTTGATTACATTGATTTATCTGGGTTTTGCCAATATTATGGACACTCGCAGCCTTTCTTTTTATTTTTTTGTGAAAAATGGACACATGCAGCTTGGACGAGAAAATGTACACACGTGTCATGTGAAATCAACACAAGGATGAAAACTTATATAACTTGCACTAATATATATTTATGTTGCAATGAAATTTTCTACACCCTCTGTTCATAAATATATGAGGTTTTGCAGTTCAATTTGAACTGTCAAAACGTCCTATATTTTGAAACGGAAGGAGTAGTAGTTAGCTACACATGCATATGCACACCTTCGTACTGGAGTAATGTTGTAATACTACAGTTAATTAATCATGGATGTGAAATTTCGTAGTCTATCTCTCTCAGATTCTGGTGCCGTCCAATTCAAAAGAAAAAGAAAAAGGATTCTAGTGGTACTTACATCTAACCATTCAGTACAACATCCCTTTTGATTGGAATCTATAAATACACTATGCTCCCTAATTTTTAAGGTCTCATATTCAATTGAGGTCTTTAATTTAAAATTGGGTCATCTCAACAGTTTTTGAAGGAGCTATTTTATTAAAAAAATCAATTCATTATGCTCCTTAATTTTAAAGCATCCCATTTGATTGAGGTGTTTAATTTTGGATTTGATTCATAATTTTGAACGGGTCAATGATTTTTAATATCAGTCGCGAGGAGTTGGCCTATAAAACATATCATACCATGCACCCTCTCACCACCTACAAAAAAGAAGTACCAACGCAATATTGTAGCACAATATAGTAGCATTGAATCACACTGCCGGAAGCCGATCAAAACACCACATTATAAATAAAAGGAAACACACTCCCGCACTCGCCAAACCAAATACTCCCTCAGTTCTAAAATATAAGGTGTGTTAGGTTTTTGAAAGTCAAATTTCTTTAACTTTGACCAATTTCAAAGCCAAAAATATTGCCATCAACAATACTAAATGATACTCCCTCCGTCCGAAAATACTTGTCATAGAAATTGATACAAATGAATGTATCTCTATTACTAATGGAGCAGTTGGTGAATAGTCTGCCGGTTATTTTTCGCTGGGTTTTTTCGTCTCACCACTTTCGTTGGTTCTATTTTGCTGGTTTTATTTCGTCTCCCTCCCACTTGCCTTTTCGCTTCACCACCCACATAAACCCATCAGATTAGTTACCATATAAAAAATAAATCACAATCAATCAAGTATTGATGGACCACCCACATAAACCCATCAGATTAGTTACCATATAAAAAATAAATAACAATCAATCAAGTATTGATGGGATATTTCCTTATATTGATGTGATTTTCCCTTTCTTATCATCAATCATCTCTACTGCCTAAAAAAATGCATAGCTTTCCTTTTCCTGCCAACCGACCGCGTCCCGTCTCCCTACGTCCACCCTCGTTGCTCTGCCTCCCGCACGAAAAAAGAACCTCTTGTTTGACCTCCCCCAAACCCCGTTCGATGGAAAAACCCAGCCGCCTGCTTCCCCTCCTCTCGACCGCTCCATACGTCCAGATCGCAGCCCCATCCCCATCCTCCTCTCACGTCACGGCAGCCGATGGACTGCCGCCACCACCCTCCTACTCTCTCGCCGCTGCCGTCCTCCCGCTCGCTCGCTGCCGTCATCGCCACCAATCCCGGCGAAGGCGCCGTTGCTGCTATGTTGCCTCCTTTCCCCATCCAAGCCTGACCATGGCAACGACACCCTCTCATGTGTCCCGCAGTGAGGTTTGGGGAGGCACGACCACAATCCAGTAGGGATCTCACCGCGGATCCGTCCGCTGGGATGGGTGTTGCCTCCGTTGCGAATGGGATCGAAGGGAGGGACTACTTCGTCGTCAAGGTCGGCGAGGCAGCGGCCGATTGGGAGCCCGGTTGTGAACAAGGGAGTTCGTCCCCATGGAGGCGGCGGCCGTGGAGATTGGATGTGAAGCAACCCCACTTGCCGGTGGTGGAGGCTTGCCGTCCATGTGCTCCTTTCTTCTCCCGGTATCTCCATTCCTTGCCTCCCATTACAAAAGCAAGCATGAATGAGAGCAGGGGATGATTTTCATCAATTCATTTCTCATATTTTTAGTTGCTTTTTTGAGATTATACAAGATGCTCCCGATCTGTTTTGTCAAATTACTTGGATCGTCTTATGGAATTGACAGCCATCGTATTTTCACCTCATGTGATTTCTTAATCCTTGTCCCACTAGGCATCCACTACATGTTTGGTAATGACATGATGTTGAGGCGGCTAGGAGAAGCTTAGCAGCCAGATCAAGGGCTATCGAGATGGATCTGGGAGCCAAGCAGTAGTTCTTTTGTTAAATTTTGGTTATTATCTTTTCTATTGTTATAATTGTGGGATGGTTGATTTTGACTCAGTGTAACATTTGCATTTGTTTCACCAGCTTGTTGGCGTAGATGCGTGGCACTGCGGCAACTAATCAAGAGCGAGGGCAGTGCACATCAGAGCTACGCTGAATGTAGCGAGCCAACCACGAATTGGGTATGTTCACACGAGGGATGGGAGAGGAGAGGAACATTAACAATTTTCATGATTTGGATGAAAATTTCAGTTCGTAGTTTCTCCGTACGTGGCAACACACTAGCGGTACTCATGGGCTTAGGATGAAAGTAGCGCCAGCAGAATCAGTAGGTTGAATGGGAAGGCGGCTATTGCCCTTGTCCCTTGGTGCTAGCCTACCGTGGCAGCCTCACTAACTTGCTCATTGCGAATACGAGTTCGTGGGGTCGCAGTTGCTGCAGATTTGTTTTTATCACTTTTTACAATATTTATTGATGTATCCCTAACTCATTGAGTCATTTTTAGCTTTGATTTCCCATATACGCCAGCCTAAATATCCCATGGTCAGAATATTGAACTCTTAAAGTTAATTCCCTCAGTTCTGGTGGCAAATATAATACACATAATCCATATTGTTATGCACTAGCGCGTGTGTGTGAAATAGATGAATTATGGTCCCGTACCCAATAAGATGGATATGTGTGTGTGTTAGAGAGAGGGAGAGGGGGAGAGAGAGTGAGGAAGAGGGAGGGAGAGTGTGTGTGTGTGTGTGAGGATTTGATGGTAAAAAAAATCGCCAATGTCGTAATATTGAACTCTTAAAGTTAATGTGGCCCCGTTGCAACGCACGGACGTTCTTCTAGTTTAGAACTAAAATACATCTAGATACAAATATTACTTGGACAAGTATTTCCGGACGGAGGGAGTATAAAATAAAAAATTCATTTCAGGATGAATCTAATGGTGCCCATTTGATATTATGTATATTAATATATTTCTTTATAAATTTCGTCAAACTTAGAGAGGTTTGCCGTTTCAAAAAACAATATACTTTATATTTTGAAACGGAGGATTCACTCCACACGTGAAATCTGACTGATTTGCTAAAATAGAATTGCTAAGCAATGCGCGTATCTGTAGATATCATGTGCCCAAATTAAAAATGAAATTGATCTGGCTGGCCTGGTAAAGGTCCAATTTTTTTACCGCCACCAACCAACCAAATCAGTAATGTTAATTAGCAACCCCTACAAATTTCTGCTCCAATTTGTACACTGTCCAGCCTGCAGCTAGCAACAAACCTGCTACTAATCTTTATCCCCAAACAAGCGCAATGCCGTCGCCGTCGCCGTCCATGGTGCGCGTGGTGTCATCGCGCACGGTGGCGCCGCCGCCGCGCCCGCGCGAGCGCATCCCGCTAACCTCCTGGGACGCCGCCATGCTGTCCGCCAACTACATCCAGAAGGGCCTCCTCTTCCACAGACCCTCTTCCTCGGCATCCGCCCTCTCCACCGCCGCCGGCGTCGTCGACCACCTCGCCGCGGCCCTCGGCGACGCGCTTGTCTACTACTACCCCGTTGCCGGCCGCTGCGCCACCGAGCAGCACAGGGACGAACTTACCGGCGCCGTCGTTGGCTGCTCCGTCCACATCGACTGCGACGGCCAGGGCGTGGAGGTCGTGCACGCCGTAGCCGACGGCGTGGCCATGGCGGGCATCGTCCCGCCCGACGCCGACGTGCCGCGCGACGTGCTGGCGCAGTTCTTCCAGCTCACCGACGCCGTCAACTACGGCGGCCGCGAGCAGCCGCTGCTCGCCGTCCAGGTGACCGACCTCGCCGACGGGGTGTTCGTCGGGTTCGCCTACAACCACGCGCTCTCCGACGGCACCGCCTTCTGGGACCTCGTCAACAGCTGGGCGGCCCTCGCGCGCGCCAGACTCGGCCTCGCCCCGGCGCCCCCGACGCCGAAGCCCTCGTTCGAGCGCTGGTCGCCGGACGGCGGCGCGGCGGGGCCGGCCGTGCTGCCGTGCGCCGACGTGTCGGAGCTCGTCGAGCGGGCGCCCCCGCTGGCGTTGCGCGAGCGGATGCTGCACTTCTCGGCGGACTCGCTGGCGGCGCTCAAGGAGCGCGCGCGGGAGGAGCTCCTGGCCGCTGGGGACGCAGCCGGCGCCGCCGCCCTGACGCGGTTCCAGGCGCTGTCCTCGCTCTTCTGGCGCTGCATCACCCGTGCGCGGCGGCTGGCGCCGGAGCAGGAGACCGTGTGCCGCGCCTCCATCAACAACCGCGGGCGGCTGCGGCCGGAGCTGCCCAGGGAGTACTTCGGCAACACCATCTACGCCATCGGGACGGAGCCGGCGCGCGCCGCGGACCTCCTCGAGCGCGGGCACGGGTGGGCGACGGCGGCCGTGGGGCGGGCCGTGGCGGCGCACACGGACGCGGCCATCAGGGCGCGCGTGGCGGCGTGGACGGCCAAGCCCATGGTGTACACGCATCGCTTCTTCGACCCGACCGAGACCTTGATGGGCAGCTCGCCGCGGTTTGACATGTACGGCTGCGACTTCGGCTGGGGGAGGCCCGTGGCGGCGCGCAGCGGCCGGGCCAACAAGTTCGACGGCAAGACGTCGCTGTACCCCGGCCGGGAGGGCGGCGGGAGCATCGACGCAGAGCTCACGCTCACGCCGGAGAACATGGCGGCGCTCGAGGAGATTGAGGAGTTATGGGCTGCCGTGACCCCGGACACGCCGGTGCTGGCGCCGGAGAAGAAGCCTTGAATCTTTCGTCCATGTCACCACTCTGTCTGCTACTCTTTTTTTTCTCAGAAAAACTTCCGGATCTGTTCATTTTCTATTCATGGCACTAGCACCAGCAAATAATAAAGAGAGTGCCTAGAACTCATGTAGCTGAGTTATAATATGGTCTCATTCACCTGATGTATGCTGATGTCACATGATAGTTTATTTTTTTTGAGCAAATGTCACGTGATAGTTGTCCCGGTCCTTTTCCTGGGACCTCCTATGTGCCGCGTTATGCGGCAAACTGGTGAAGCTTCACAGAGGCGTCGAACCAACGGGCTGGTCCAGGTAGCCAACCCCGCAAAGCGAATTTATTTTAGAGAAAACGATTCGCGCTTCGCGTTGGGCTCAAACTCGCAACGCTTACTCGTCTATTCAGGAACCATGCCGCTGGAGTTGAACACCTTTTGTGACAATTTCGCAGCGCAATCATTTAAGTAGCGGGACTAGCATAAAATTCCTAAAAGAGATGGACTCATAAGGTTTCGAACTCAGCACCTCCTGTGGTCAAGAAGTGGTACATAACCACTGCAATACATAATTTTGCTGTTTAAATGTTGCAGCGCCACTTATAATAACTGTAAAAGGAGACAGATCTATTTCTTCTTTTGAGAATTTTGAATGCGTTATTATTTAGGAAAGCGGATATTTATTGAATAAAAAAAATTTCAAAATTGTGAACAAATTAACAAAGTTGGAAATATTAGAAAAGCGAACAATTTGTGGAAGAGTCAAACAATTTTTGATCGATCTTGAACATATTTTAGAAAAGAGGGAAATTTTTGAACAAATTTGAAAACATTAACATTTTTCCAAAACTCGAACATTTTTGGAATAAATGGAACATTTAGTGAAACTCTGAACCAAAATCTAAAAAGCAAACAATTTTTGCATATGTGAACAATTTATGAAACTGTAAACAATATTAGGGAGAGGCAAGCTTTTTATGAATATCATGAACTTTCTTTCAATTTGTGAACAAAATTCGAGAAATCAGGAACTTTTCTGAACTTTTGAACACTTTTGTAAACCCCGAACAAAAATGTAGAACCAATATTTTTTGAATCCTTAACATATTTTCCAATTGTAAACATTTTTAGTACAAGCAAACATTTATTTAACAATGTGAAAAAAAAACTCAAATTTCTTTTTTACTAAAGAGAGCAAATTTTGAAAAAAGTGACCGTTTCTTGAAAATATAGAAGCCCCTTGAACAATTTTGAAACCTAAACATTTTTTGAAATTCCCAAATGATTATTAACCAGTGAACAAAATTTGAAAAACAGGAACAATTTTTGGGATTCAAAAATATTTCAAACCACAAATTTTTTTGGAAAACTCCTGCACCTATTTTGAATTTGTGAACAAATTTCAGAAAACAGGAACATTTTTTGAAAACATGAACTTTTCAAAAAATCCTGAACATATTTGGAACGTATTTTTCAAAATTTGTGAACAAAATTGAAAAAAAAAGGAAATTTCAGAAATTCTGAATTCAAACTTTTCTAAAATAAAAATAGAGAAAGAAAGAAGAATATAATAGAAAAAGAAGCAGAAAAAGGGAAATAAATACTTGAAAAGGAAGAAAGAAGAAAAGAAAAGAAACAGAAATAGGAAATTTTGAAAATCATGAAGATATTTTTTATTTTTAGACCAAAATTAGAAACGGAGAACAATTTTAAAATTTCCAAACAAATTTGAAGCTTGAACAGTTTTTGAATACGTGAACAAAATTTGGGAACAAGAACAATTTCTGAAAACATGAACATTTTTTAAAAATCCCGGTCATTATTTGAAAAGTTCCAAAAAAATAAACAAAAACATTCCGAACAATTTTTGGAAAATGAGAACAATTTTTGAAATGCCCGAACAATTTTTTGAAAATGCGAACATTATTTGAATTTATGAACAAGTTTTGAAAGGTTGAAATTTTTTACAAAATTGGAAATATTTGAAAAGTGCGAAAAAATTTCAGTTTGTGAACAAAATTTGAAACCTGATTTGTTTTTTAAAAATGGACTTGAAATGCAAAGGAAACGACAAAAAGAAATAGAAAAGGAAAAGAAAAGAAATAAAAAGGAGAAAAAAAAGAGACAGAAAAATCGAGAAAAGAAAAAAACGGTTCAGGGAACCTTCTAGAAGTTTCCCAAAAACAGAAAACCCGGGCTGGGAACCTCTAGAAGGTTCCCAAAACCGGAAGTGCCCCAATTGATTAACGGGCCGGCCCACGTGAGCGCTTCGATCGCCAGTTCTGTGCGTTGCGCCGACATTTCGACGCAATGAGCGGCAAATAGGGAATTCCCCTTTTCCTGTTGTCCCAGCCCGTTTGTGCGTTGTTCCTCCGAAAACAGGCTCCCGAAATCCAGCACAGCCCAGTGGTGCGAACATTATTTGAATTTATGAACAAGTATTGAGCTGTCAAATTGTTCATAAATCCAGCTGTCAAATTTGTTATAATTCCGGCACATCCCATTTGAGCTTTTCGGCCTGTACACAAGTCATTGGGTGTTAAAACAAGCCGGCCCATTGGCAGATGCAGCGCTGTATCACGTGGGTCATAAAAAAATGCCAAAAAATAAGCACTTATACGAGATCTTGAACTCACGATCTAATCTAATCTAGCAATGCTGAAAGCGTGTTGCAAGCCACTACTGTCTACAGCAGATGGGCGTTGGTTATGAATAAAAACCATGAAACTTTAAAGAGCTATCTATCACGACAAATCGAACAGTTTTAGTACTTTTCTGACATTTCTTGAATTTTTTTATTTTTTAAAAACTTGAGAAAATCATTTGAAATTCCCCAAATATTTTTTGGATTCACGAACAAAATTTGAAAACATGATTTCTTTTCAATTTGTGAAAAGATTTTTAAAAAAAGAACATTTTTTGAGAATCCCTTAAATTTTTTGCATATGTGAACAAAATGAAATAAAGTGAACAACATTTGAAAACAGGACCTTTTTTTCAATTTCTGAACAAAACTTGAAAAAGTGTGAGCATTTTTTAAATTCACAGATATTTTGAATAAAATTTAAGAACAGAATTTTTTTTGAAGTTTTGAACAATTTGTGGAAAACACAAACATTTATTTAAACTTACAAACATTTCCTGAAAATGCCAAACAATTTTAAAAAAGATCAAAACTTGAAGAAAGAAAAATAATACGTAAAAGGAAAGAAACGAAAAAGAAAAGGAGAGAACGTGCAGTTGCGACCACCTTGATAAACTTGCAGTTGCGACCGACCTCCAAAAACTTGTAATTGCGACTACCATAGAGAAACTTGCAGTTACGAACGGCCTTGAAAACATGCAATTGCGACTACCCTAGGGAAACTTGCAATTACGACCGGCCTTCAAAAACTTGCTGTTGCGACTACCCTAGAAAAACTTGCAGTTGGGACCGGCCTTGAAAAGTTGCGATTATGACAACCCTAGAGAAGCCTGCAGTTGCAATCAGCAAAAAAAGTTGCAATTACAACTACCCTAGAGAAACTTACAGTTGTGATCGGCCTTCAAAAACTTGCAATTGCGACTACCTAACAGAAACTTGCAGTTACGACCGGCCTTGAAAACATGCAATTGCGACTACCCTAGCGAAACTTGCAGTTATGACTACCCTAGAGAAACTTGTAATTGCAACCGGCCTTCAAAAACTTGCAATTGCGACTACCCTAGAAAAACTTGCAGTTGCGACCGGCCTTGAAAACTTGCAATCGCGACTACCCTAGAAATTTTTGCAGTTGTGACCGACCTTTGAAAAACTTGCAACTGCGGCTATCCTAGAGAAAACATGCACTTCTGATCCCCGCTTAAAAATGAAAAAAAAGACGAATGAACGACCGCTGCCCATTGATCCAGGTTCTAATAAAAAAAAAGCAAAAGTCATCATGGGCCATGAGCATCATTAACGGACAATCAGGAAAAAACAAAAAAAAAATATTGCAAAAAGGGTCACAATGGGCCGCACGTAGCATTTATTGGATAACCTACATGGATCCTGACGCAAATCATTCTGATGGCTGATGGATCAAATAAGGCATAGTTAAAACTCAGAATGTGAGATAAGAAAATAAATAGAACAAACAACTTTTTTGCAAATGACACAAACAAAAATAAAAAATAAAAAATGAAGTGCCAAACTATAAAAATTAAAAAATGTTAAGAAAAAAAATAAAACAAGGGGAAAAAGTTGAAGTTAAAATGAGAGTGAGCGGAGAAATTGAGGAAAATGCTCACGAGAAGTAATTAAAGGCTTTGCCTTGGCGCTTCCCGTTCTGCACAGTACACTGACGAAATGAGGCCAGGTATATCCATTCAAAACAATATTTTTTTACATCCATTCAAAACAATTAAGAGTATAAAAGTACAACAGACCGAGCACCCCCGCCCGGGAATAGTGCACATGGTAACCAGCATCTACACGCGCTGGTTTCTTTTCACACAACACAATGTGAAGTTCGTTCTCGAGCAAGACGCCTTTCAGCCCCTTCCAAGCACTAGAAAAGCACATGGACAAAATCAATACAGCAGGGCTAACAAAATTTCCCCCTAGAAACAGGCCTTGAATAAGCACCTCATTTCAATTCATATTGGAAGCATTAAAGCAAGTTTTATTTTACAGGGCTGTGACATGTGTACTATACACGATTTACATAATTACATTCGAAACACGCCATATTTCGTGTCTTCTGGAACCGGCTTGGCCGAAGCAGAGAGGCAAAGGCTTAGGACCCGTCTGGTATCGGCGGGATCTATGATCCCGTCGTCCCAAAGCCTAGCGGTCGAGTAGTACGGGCTTCCTTCTTTGTCATAAGCCTCGACGACTTTGGCTTTGAAGGCTTCTTCGTCATCCTTGGTCCACTGCATAACAAAGAAAGTCTCATCTTCTACCAGTATTTGTTTTATGTTTACTGAATCCAATATAAATGATGCACTATACCTCCACTCCTTGCCTTTTCCTGTTGTTCTTCTCTATTTGGGCGAGAACACCAGCTGCCTGAAAAGGTTCAAGAGAAAGATGTGTTAAAACCAGTGGTAGCTTGGCTCTTGCTTGAGGCTTAGCATACCCATAAGAAACCAGTGCAAATATGTTTACGTGTACAAGAACATGATCGGCATATGCTACCGCAGCTTTCCCTCTTAATGTCCAGTGCACATGCCTAGGAGACACCCAAAAAAAGTATTTTGATGGACTGAGAGCATGCTTTGCTTTCACAGTGGTATTCCGCCGTTCTGCTTTTGTTTTGCCTGGTTGCGCCTCACGGAAATGTTTCTAACAACCGTGCACAATGTTTCTGCAACAAAGTGTAGCATGCTGGCTACTTTTGTTTGCAGCTGAGTAACAGCTGAGATTTTTCACATTTTGGACTACTAATGCTGCCTAATAACCTATGTCCCTAGGCTTCAAGGGAATTGATACCAAGAGTTACATTTGTGGCATCCTTACCAGGTAATGATACTAGTAAAAGAGTAAGACAATTTGAAGCCAATGACAGGTCCAAAGGTCTTACCTGAATGCCACCCATAACAGATATCCTAGCAGTTGGCCACATGAACAAAAAATTCGGGCTGTATGCACGTCCACACATTCCATAATTCCCAGCACCGAAACTTCCACCGACAATTATGGTAATTTTAGGAACCTGTACAGAAATATAGATATATAGGGTCATGCTATCCATATAATTTTATAGAATTTTAGATGTAGATAAAAATACAGGACTAGCTATAGATTCCATAATAGCATTTTGTCCCAAGCAAGTTGGGGTAGGCTAGATATGATACCCAACGAGAACATACGAAAAACTAAAAGGAGAAAGAGAGAAAAAAGAAAAGAAAACAAATAGACCAAAGTGCTACTCTGCTCTACTCATGCTATGTCATGTGGCATGCTGTGTAAATGCGGAAGAAAGCAAGATCAGGCCGCTAGTTTACTAAGACCAAGAATGGGAAACAGTAGAAATGTCTGACCTTTGAACAGGAAACTGCCATAACCATTTTTGCTCCAGCTTTCGCAATTCCACTTGCTTCAGATTTCGACCCAACCTATTAAACATTATCACTGCAAAAGGTTAGAAGGCTCGTACTCCAAAATAAAACCAACTGTTATGTTCAAACTTTAGTATCCCCTTAGTACAACTTTGATGACAAGATGTCTTAACCTTAGTAAAACTTTGTACAAAGTTGTGACACTTATTTTGGGATGGAGGAAGTATGTATGCAATTCATATTGTTGGACTGTAAAGGATTTTCTCATCCCCAGAAGCTAGCTTGTGACGTTAGAGTTCTTAGGTCTCTTTCCCTCGTGCAACCAATATCGGACTATTCCAACAATCTGCCCCTTTACTCATTTGTGCCCCAATCTGCCCCTTTACTGTAGATGGGCGGTCTCTGTGCAGTGGCAGTGCTAGACCTTTGACCTTGTGATGTCAACCAACCAAACTCTTGATGATTGTATGAGTTATGTGATGAATACAAAAAATTATGAGTGTTCTCCACCAGTTGTGGTGTTAGTTAACAACTTGACATCATAAACTGTGTGTAGCCGCCACTGTATGTGGCTGACATGCCCCTTCAAAATACATGGATGGTCCCTCAGGCACCCATGGTCCATTAGGCCTTCAAACACTAGACTCCATCATGCCAGATACTCCCTCCGTCCGAAAATACTTGTCATCAAAATGGATAAAAATGGATGTATCTAGAACTAATATACATCTAGATACATCCTCTTTTATTCATTTTGATGACAAGTATTTCCGGACGGAGGTAGTATGTTGGAACCATGCTTTTTGTTGCTGCTGTTGGAAGTTGGAACCATGCTTTCATAACAACTGTTGTGTCATAAAGGGTCTTTTCACCGTCAAAAGCCAACTTGTGAGGTGAGGGATGTTCGCAATATCAATTAGGTCACTTTATTTATGAACATGAATTAAAAAATATTGAACCGAGCTAAACCACTTTCCATGATAACGGAAATACAATGTTTTGTAGATGAATACGAGGTGGGAAAGGACAATATTTTGAACATGAATTGGAATGAAAGAATGAACTGAAAAGTAAAGAAGATGCCATACCATGAACCCAGAAATATTTTGAAGGAATATCAAAGGAATATTGCGTTGAGCACACAACTCAATGAAGTGGGTACCCTTTAGTGCCGACTCGGTAAATAAAATGCCATTGTTTCCAATAATCCCAACTGGCTGCCCGCATATCCTTGCAAAACCAGTCACTAGTGTCTGCGTAAATGCAAAATGAAACAGATTTGAGTTGCACAACGCACAATACAGAATGCAAAGGATAATCAAGCATAAGAGAAATCCTTACTGTTCCATACAATTTTTTGAATTCATCAAATTCACTTCCATCGACTATACGAGCTATTATTGAGCGAATGTCAAAAGATTGCTTCGTATCAGCTGGTGCAATTGAGCGAAGTTCCTGTACATCATACAATGGTTCTTGGTAATCACAAGCAGAATTGTGTCTACTTGTTTCTTTAGCGGCCAAATGGAGGTTCTTCACAACGTTCCTTCCCAGTGCAAGACCATGGTGTTCATCTATTGCAATTTACAGTGCAGAAGATGTCTAAGATGTCGCAACAACATCCAACTAATATGTCTAGAAAAAAATGATACATAAGAGGGTCATCTATGGTTTAAGATAGAAACATCCAATGAGTGACAATAAAATGCAAAATATCAGGGTCTGGAAACTATTTGCATGATCAAATATATCAGGGAAGAAACAAACAAGGGTCTGGAAACTATTTGCGTGATCAAATATATCAGGGAAGAAACAAACAAGGGTCTGGAAACTATTTGCATGATCAAATATATCAGGGTAGAAACAAACAGTACTCTCCAATCTCCATAGAATGCTCAGAGACGACATCTAATAAGGTACTTGTTAATACTTCTTTTTCTGGAACCACCAAGCTGGACGCGTACCACCGTGGATGTAGAACATGGAAAAAGAAATAATAACAGAAAGAAGCAGAACTTTTACACTAAAAGCTTGCCGGAAATGCATCTTTTAAGAAATTAAGCAGACGATCCTCCATTTGTTATATCTAAAAGAGCAGTATTCGAGTCGTATTATACAGCAATTTATGTTAAAATATACCTTGTGCAAAATGATCAGAGACTCCTGATATTTTACAATGCACTGATGCTCCACCAAGGTCCTCAGCAGATATCTCCTCCCCTGTAGCAGCCTGCAGAATTGGCCATTTAGACTTGGACATGTAATTTAGATATTTGTCAAGATTGTGGACAGAAAATACTAACCTTTACAAGGGGTGGACCAGCTAGAAATATTGTTCCATTTCCCTTAACTATTATACTTTCATCAGCCATTGCAGGAATATAAGCCCCGCCAGCAGTACAAGAACCTAAAACTACAGCAATCTGAGGAATACCATCTGCGGACATCTTAGCTTGATTGTAGAATATTCGACCAAAATTATCACGGTCGGGGAAAACTTCTGCCTGCTTGGGGAGATTAGCACCTCCACTGTCAACAAGATATATGCAGGGCAATTTACATTCAGAAGCTATTTCCTGCGCCCGCAGATGCTTTTTGACAGTGATAGGATAGTATGTACCCCCCTTTGTAGTTGGGTCATTGGCCACAAACATACATAGTCGTCCATGAACAGGCCCTATGCCAGTAATTATTCCCGCTGATGGTAATGCTTCCTCGTAAACATCAGATCCTGCAAGCTTTATTGCGAAAAGTATCATCAGCAGCTCATAGCCCACAACAAGTTGGACAACTATGAAAACATTTGTTTCTATTCTGAAGCATCCTACCAGATAATGGCATGTCTGAATAGTTAGGGGCAGTTGGCTGCAGGATAACGATATGGGTGGGAAGACAATGGTGTTCTGGTCAATTATTTCACATAAACGAATATCGTACTGAGACTTGCATCCAGTGTCTTTTTCTTTTTTGCAGAAAAGATCAGATCTGTTATAAAAGTTGATATACTAGTGCATAAGTCAAATCCATGCTACTCTATTAAATTAGAAAGCTATTTAGAAAATCAGGATGCATACAAAAAATAGAGCTACGTGTTCTTCGAGGGAAAAAAGATTACTCTAAAAAATAGTTAAACGGCCACTCACTTTTTAAAGCCGCGGGGTGAAAAACTCGGTCCCGTTTTCTCAAATGGAAATGGTAACTATAAGAAACTATACATTTTAGAGCTGCAGGGTGAAAAATTCAGTCACGTTTTTCAGGAATCAAAATGGCAGCTAGTCCAATGGCCAAACTAGCGATGATAACTAGGATGAGCAGACCAACATGCAGTACAATTTCCTTAACGCCGTCGCTTGATAAAACTGGTCACCGGGAGGAAAAGGGGTCTGTCTCACTGATGGGCGATGGCTGACCTGAGAGAGCTCGAGGAAGGAGGCCCCCGGGTCGAGCAGGCGGTCGATGCGGTCCCTGGGGAGCAGCTTCCCCCGCCCCTCGTTCCGCTTCACCGCCCCCGCTCCTCCGCCGCCCAGCACCTGCAGCGGCAGCGCCCTCCGCCTCGTCAGGAGAGAGAGAGAGAGAGGGAAGGTGTCGGGTAATGCAAGGGTAAAGAGACCGGCGGCACGCGCGCGCGCACGCACCTGGGAGACGCGGGAGCGCAGGTCGGAGAGGAGGCCGCCGACGGCGGCGGCGTTGCGGGCGTAGGCGTCGGAGCTCCGGTCGAGCGCGTCGGGCAGGACCGAGGAGGAGGCTGCCGCCGCCGAGGAGCGGTAGGCAGCGGCGGCGCGGGCGCTGCCTAGGCGGGGCCGCCGCGCGGCCAGTCGGCCGAGCATCTCCGGCGGATGACGACGATGATGGATGGGCCGGTGGGGGGTGGACAGTGGAGTGAGCAGTCTGTGTCAGAGTGTGCGATGCCTCTCTGTATACTGACGGAGGAACACTCCCGCACGGAAGCTCCAGCGGATATTGATTGAGCTCGAAAGTATTTTCCACGGGAGTCTCGTGCTCGTCTGCTCTGATGCCATGCTGCGCTGGCAGACAGATGTGGATAAGGACCCCTGCAGACTTGCACTTGGTTTCTAATTTATTGAATTTTTTAAATATTGTTTTTTTCCAAATTTCCTAGTTTAGGTTCCTTTTCTATACCACGACGGTAGCCCATGAATAACTTTGAATATTGATGGCTGGATGAAGAGTGTCGGCCGTTGGATATTTTCTTCACCCCACTGAACTTTACCACATGTACTATCAAGAAGATATCGTACTTGACCGTAAGCACAATCGTAACTCTGCACGATTGCTTCGAAATTTGCTGCAATTTATTTTAGTGAGGCTTAGTATTATGGAACATGTATGTTTGTCAATTTGGTTCAATCGAGGAGTTTAATTTCGGATTTTATTCACGATTTTGATTGAGGTTATTTTCAACTTGGTTTGTAGCTTTTATTTAATTGAGGTGTTCAATTTCAGATTTGGTTCACAATTTTTACTGGTTGAACAATTGTGATTGAGGTGTCTAATTTTGAATTTGATTCATGAGTTTGACCGACTAAATAAATTTTCAAATCAATCGGCAACAACCAACCTACAAAAACACATGAGTCATGCGCACTCTCTCATCACCAGGCAAAAGGGAATCATTACCAATGGACACTATAGCACCAATATGTTGCATGTGGTCACCAATGCAAAAGAAAATTCCACATACATCTGCGTTGATTAGCAGATAACATAGAATCACATCTTTAAAAAAGGCCCACCAAAATATCACATTATAAAGAAACCATGCACCATCATCTCCCTTACGCGCTAAACCAAGTAATAAAATTACGAAATCCCCACAAGACAAATGGCGCAGCAAAGCACGCACAACCTAGTATATGATGAGTTTCCATAGCCTAAAGTTGCAGTGGAATGTTTGCTCATATGATGAAGATTTTTGCTCCTGGGTCCTTTAGAAGCCAGATTCAGTATTGATCATCTCTGCATTGAGACGGAGACAATAAATTATGGGGAAATGGATTTGGTCGTAATGTAATCGAGTGCAGGTTATTAACTATTATCCGCTGAGCTCAAGATGCTACTGAGTATTAAAAGCTACTATCCATTGAGCGCGAGATACTATTGAATATTTTTTTAAAGGCTCAATGTGTAGTAGAAAGTCCACATCACAAACCAATAGTGTATATCATGTAGAAACAAAATGAGTGGCGGTGAGTTTATTTAGGATGCAAATCTCTCTTTAATGAGCGTTTTATAGATGATACTGAAATATATGTAAACTAAAATTCTTTTTTATTAATGCATGGCTTAGACTCTATCATCAACACTCTCGGTGAGTACCAAAGATCTAGTCGGAATAGAATACCTTGCTTGTGTGCCTAGGCCTCATTCCCCTGACAAGACCACTACATGGCATGTACTATGTGTCAAGGGAATAATGGTGGATGCACTATGTTAGAAATCTTATGGTTCCAGAAGATATTTTCCTCAATAACGAGAACACATGAGATGGGTAGTGCACTAATCGTCAGCAAGCACGGTCATACACCAGATGATACCAAGTACATTGCCGGTGAGCATATCAAATGATCAAATCATTTGTATGTAGAAGTAGTAGAATCAATAGTATCCATATGTTCCTCAATGATTACTATAAAATATGACATTTCAACACAAAGTACATAGCATGCACATGATGTTAAAGTGATATTGAACACATCGATATTTGCAAGACACATTTGACCACGAAAATACCAAGAATTAGTATTGAGGTTTTCGTAAATTTAATAACCTAGTCATACACTAGAAATTGTTATTGAGATATTTCTTAAGCATACGCTCGAGGGATCTCTACTATGATATTTAAGAATATTAATATATACACTATCACACACAACTACATCTGCACTATGTGTTGATGTGATTGTCGAAAATAGTTCCAGGAGTTATGAAATACATCTTCAGTTTAGCACAAAGCATGTATTACATTACAATTGCGTAATTGTCGAAAATAGTTCCAGGAGTTATGAAATACATCTTCAGTTTAGCACAAAGCATGTATTACATTATAATTGCGTAATAAAGTGCACTGTAACTAATATTTAGCAATAATGTTAAGCGTGAAACTAAGCTATACTCGTTAAGACTATAGCATCACAAAAAAATAGGTATAAAAGTTTTGTACAAATTATATTTATTTTAATCATTTCTATGACTATAAATCTTGGATCGTCCTTGTAACGACCATAAAGTTGTTTAATTAATGACGGGTAAGGTCTATTGCCTATCTAGTCATTTTACGATCCGCATGTGTATGTAGTACTAGATTGGGTGATGAAATCCCTAGCTAATGTCAGGTGGGTGCATTCACAATACACGTTGGTGGACTGTCGAGTATCTTGCTTGACACAACGTCTAAGGAAAAGGCTTTGAACTCTGAATAGGTCTCGCATACGATGGATTGTGATAACAATAAAAACTAGTTTATGTGAGTAAAGAGATACAGCCTGCGCAATGCCAAATAAATCATGATCATGTCTATCTCTTGGATTGAACCTACAGGAACCTATATGCGATTCTATCTCGCGATACAAGTGGTTATAGTAGCTTTTATAAATTTAACTAGATCTTTTTCTACATCAAGTTTTATTTGAAGGGTGTTGAGTTGAGGTAGGACTTGTTGGTTGAAGATACACTATCATAGGTGTTGCATTATGCTATTTATGCTTGTTGGTTACTTTGTACTCATTCTTGTTATTAGTTTCCTCTTTCTTAGAGCAAACCTTGTATGAGATTCCTACTAGACTAGGTGAGGGGAGAAATGGTGATGGCTACAACTATATAGGGGACCTAGATGTGGATCCATCAAGTGATACGTATGATCTTGATGCCAAGGTTGGGATGAATAAATATCTTGTGATCTAAAGTTATGTAATTCAAGACCTATCTTATCACTATGTATTTAGTATTGCTAGTTGGAACTCCAGTGCTTGAAGATGTAATAATTTGGCAAACTTGTGAGAAGCCTACTTGAGCCCTTTATGGTATAGTATTGTAATATAAATGACCATCTATAGTTGTGTCCCTATTGCAAATCTCTGGCATAGGCTATTATTTGACAAGATTAGATTTTGTCAATAAATAAACTAATGACTAGTGTCATTATCTAAATTAATACTGACACGGGTCATCACACTAATCCTCATCAATACACTACTTACTTTTGTGATGCTAGTTGGATCTGCACCGAATGGAGGAGCTCAAAACTATTGTGTTCCTAATCTCCCCTCAAACTCACAACTTCTTCGAATGTGTAAGTGCATCTAGTGCCACCCCTAGTTGGTTTGGAGTATTGGCGACAAACCCGGTTGAGGGACTAATGTGTTTGTGAGAATTGCAGGATAACACAGGTAGTAGTCCCATATTGATTTGGTTTACCTACCAGAGATGACCCCTAAAAATGTGTGAAGACATTGAAGACAATGGTCGTCTGTGAAGACATTCACATTTAAGACTATGACAAGAGAAGACATCGTGTGAAGACTATAGAGTGCAAAGACATAGTTGTTTCGTAGTTTCCTTTTCTTCTTTGTTGAGTCATAGGAACCACCGTACTGTTAAGTGTGGTCCAAGTCAACAAAGTCAGAGTGACTGATGTGATGCTCAACCAAATCCTATGTCTTCGAGCGAAGACAATGAGAGCAAATCTTATCAAGAGCTGGATAAGTCAGCTTGGCTTGTAGCCCAAGCTAAGCTGCCGCGTGTGTTTGAAATCTGACCGTTGGACACATGTCAGTTCCTTAGTGACCCAGGGTCATTCTGGACATATCAGGTTGGGTTGCCTCCTGGCTATAAATAGCCCACCCCCTACACCATAAATTGGTGTCTGCTCAGAGTTAGTGCACGACTTTTGTCGTTTGAGAGCAACCCACCTCTGAAGCCTTTGAGAGAGAATCCTTGCGAGGACAAAGCCCAAAACACCCAGAGCCAAAGAGTGTTAGGCATCACTGAAGTCTTTCTGTCCGTGATCTAAAGACTTATTACACTTGAGGACTGTGAATCCTCCAGCCGGTTAGGCGTCGCATTCTGAGCATCCAAGAGTCATTGTGGATTGCCGGTGAATGAAGTCTGTGAAGGTTTGGAAGTCTCCATTGAAGACTTAGCAGAGTGATTGGGCGAGGACTAAGTGTTCTTAGCTCAAGGGGAATAAGGTGAAGACACGGTCTTCTGAGTTGAATCTCAGCCTCCCTAACCAGACGTACAGTTGTCACAGCAACTGGAACTGGTCCAACAAACCCCTTGTCATCTACGAGCAACTGGTTCTATCCTACCTCTCTCACCTTACTTATAGTTTGTCTTCATGAAGTCTATGCCTGCTTGCCTGATCTGTTTGACTTCACTGTGTGAAGATTATTGTCTGTTTGGCTTCATACTATCTTCCACCCTGATCCATACTACCTAGTGATATGTCTCCAACGTATCTATATTTTTTGGTTGTTCCATGCTATTATATTACCCCTTTTGGATGTTTATGGGCTTTATTTTACACATTTATATCATTTTTGGGACTAACCTACTAACCGGAGGCCCAACCCGTATTGCTGTTTTTTTTACTATTTCAGTATTTCGAAGAAAAGGAGTATCAAATGGAGTCCAAACGGAATGAAACCTTCGGGATCATGATATTTGGAACGAACATGATCCAGAGGACTTGGAGTGCCAGTTAAGAAGCAATCGAGGTGGCTAGGAGATAGGAGGGCGCGCCCACCCCTCCTGGTCGCGCCCCCTGTCTCCTAGGCTCCTCGAGCGGCCACCGACGTACTTCTTCCTC